ATATTTAAAATTTCGATACATAATTAAACTTTTTATGGAAAGAGTTTTTAAAGGTTTGAAAACTTCTTATTCGTAAAGGGTTAACACATTCAAGACCGCCAACGTAATCCTACGTCATTCGAAATTCTTTAACTGAATACTGGTAACATAGTCTTACATTCATTTATATTTTTTAAAAGAATGCTGATCGTTTAATTCTACGTCATTTCAAAATCTGTAGATAAATATTGACAACATAGTCCTATCATGTGTTTCTTACATTCATACACATTTGAATAACAATGATTGTATTAACACGAGAACAACTGCACCCGTCAAAATGGCGGGTTTCAGGTTTCTTATTACGCATTTGTTGATATTTTATAAGCATTACTTATTTGAAATGATAATTATGAATGAAGAATAAATAATTCCATTTCAATACTATAACCAATACATGAAGAAACCGAACAAAAATCTATTGTTACAATTTTTATATTGTATATATTTATTAATAATGACGTATCTAAGTACGTGTGTATATATTCGTTCAGCTGCGACTCATTCATGTGACGAACGACCGTTGTCACGTCAATCCTTTATTATCGCCAGACATTTCTTTTCTTTTTGCGTTTTGAGCCCGTCCCCATGGCGAGATCATCGTCACCCTCCTTCTCGGATGCCATTTCTGGACGAAGCAGTGTTACATAGGTATATCCCCCAGGCGCGAGGGAGACGATAGATCTCTAGAGGTGGACGAACCGTCGAAAACGTCCCCGGAATGTTTCTTTGATGAAATTTCCTTTCCAATTTGTTAATAAGCTTTGTTGCACAACCCATAGATAAACTGAAAACTGGAATTTACTCTTTTTCAGGTATTGTTAAGCATAGAAGTGAGTTAACTTTGTCATCCCTTAAAACGTTGAAGTCTTCTAACGGTTACTATTATTTTTCATCTTTCACTTCTGTATCGTTATAGATTAAGTTACCTTTTCTCAACTACCTACCTTTTTATCCATTTCCTTGTACTTAAATGATTGGCACCTCACGTCTGAGCATATTTCTCTTACGCCTTTTGTACATGTTTACTTTTTTCAGCATAATTAGGACGACGGTAATAATGTACAATATACCCAAATGAACAATAACATTGAATAAAATTTGCAGGACTTTTAATTCGCAAGACTGCTAATATTTGGGTAATAAAATAAAAATAATTTCTTTATTTAAAAATTCGAATAGATACACATACAAATGTAAACTGATGTGAACACTGGCGGTCTTCGAACGATTTTTAACAAACCGTTCTTATTTTTGTCATCTCTGTTCCCGTTTACGTGGATGCTCTTTCTATTTGTTAACGATGTTATTCCTAGCAGTCTAGTCATCGTAGATATTCTCATTATTGTTCCCATTACTCTTATTAGAAATTATCGTTTTGCCTTTGTTTTTGTAACCGGAACCCTTATGGTCGCCGGCGATATTTCTTATTGTCGAATTATGGTTGTCGCTGTTGCTACCATTCTTATTGCCGTCATTTCCACCGCCACTGCAAGGCCACCGGTCTTCACAGAGATTGGACACGCAACGGAGAACGGATGCGACTATTAAGAGCCGAGCTGAAGATTTAGGTAGGTGTTAAAACTGCCGAGTACTCGGCACACGACTTTTATGAGATATTTGACACGACGCGAGACCCTGAAACGGTGCAATTATATCTGTACTCGTACAGCGAATCGAGCCACAGTACCGAAAGAGAATGCGTTTGCGCCTTAATCGCAATGCAGATGACTGAATTTCTGTTTTCATTAATACGAAAACACGCGAAAAATCCATAATTAGATAATCGTTAATATTTGAGACTTTATATCTTGAAACAGAAACCGTATGCATTTTATATATTAAAGTGAAGGTTTGTGACGGTTTGAACAGTGTGAGAGATTGCAGTGTGAGGCGATTGCAGTGTGAGAATATGCACGGAAAATTGTTTCATGCATTAAGAATGATAATATAAGAAAAGCAATAAATTTTATGCTAATGAACCTCGACTTATTCGAAAGTGAATTATTGAAAACTAAAGGAATCGGTGATGTCTAGAGAAAGTGATAAGAAATGAACGATAAAAATTGAAGATAGATTTTAATTAAAGGTTATAAGATGTAATTGAAGATTGATTTTAGATAAAGATTATAAAATTTCATTGAGGATTGATTAAAACAAAATGTGATTAAAACAAAATGAAATATTATAATTGTTCAATCCTAACTTTGCTAATGCAATGCGTCGGGATTTGTATTTATTTCGGTCCTCTTTTTCGCTTGAACGTTATCGATCACTCGATTTTTACGTGCAGCTTAATTGCAGTCGCTTCGGTAAGCACAAGGAAGGATTTAACGGTGGCGATTCGCTCATTAACTTCGTAGCCGATATTAATTACGAGATCGCTGGAATCATAAGTGCCCTCTCAACGCTCCCTTTCGTTCATTGTAAACTGATACCGATTAATAACCCGACCTCGACGAACGAACGTTTCTTCTTGGTTCATTGAAGCGAGAGCAAATATTTTACAATACGCGCGTCGCATATTTTCACCCGACGACGCCAGCCTCTATGAATTCCAAACGGCGTGTATCATCGTCGCGCGTTCCTGCGACAAGCGAAGACGAGGACTTGGAGTAAGTACTTACTTCACGCTCGGCTCATATCATTAATGTACCGCGGATCCCGTCGTCTCTCGTTTTATCAACCGATCTCGCCTTGACCACAAAGACGGACGCGAACGTTTCAAGAAATGACGTGCATTGTAAAACGGAACGACAGAAAAGGGCAAAAGTAATTGAGGAAAAAGACGCGGGATGTCTCGGGATCGATGATTACCTCGTGTATCTAAAATTTTAAACTCCCGATGATTACAATGTCTTAAATGACTGTTATGGAGGCAATAAAGAGGAAAGGCACTGTAAAATAAACGTTACGTCTTTACGAGGTGCCATACAAAATCGTTGAAACGTTCCCGTCAATACTCGGACCTTCGACATGTCTAGGTGAACGTTCTTTCCATTCTTACCACAACTGAACTGAACATCCCCGGCACATAGACGGTCGATCAACGCGAATACGAGAAGCAAACGCATCGTCGATCCAAAATCTTGACATATTCGTCTTCTCGTGTCTTCGTCGACTATTAAACGATTCCAAAGTACCAACTTCTCGCGGCATCGATTCTCGTTGCGTTGGCCTTTAGTCGTGACACCGAACGGTTCGATATCGAAACCGGCTGATACCGGGTACGGTGAACGGAAATTATATCATCGTCAATGATGATGAAGACGGCCGCGTATCGGTTCGCGGGACGATAGGCTGGACGATGATTCTTTTCTCGAGAACTGCCTTCGTTCCGAAAGACGATTGCCGACCGATGCGCACCGGTAGAAACCGGTCATCTCACCACGTACCGGTGGCGTGCAAACGGGACGAGGACAAATCGATGTCTCGCCCTTCCTCCACGGATGGCAAATTTGGGATCCGTGACCGCTCTTAATATCGCGCGGGGGCGCCGAGGAGGAGGAGGAGGCGATCGGAAGGTACCAGGGAGGAGAAGGCACGAGCTGCGGAGGGAGCTAACTCGATGTGTTGGTTAACGAATGCGAGAATGCGGCCTGGCGCCAACGCACACGCACGCGTCCGACGTGTCACGCAGTATGTATTCGCTACCGGCCTCGGTATATTGGTTTATCCCTTCTCCCCAGCTTCCCTGGATCTCCTCCCTGTTGGATAGCTTCAAGGCACGCACGCGAACTCCTCGTTTTCTTCGCCGAGAAAGAGGACCGACGAAAGGAAAGAGTGAAGAGGACGGGAAAGGTGGCAGCAGCCAGTAGCAGTTTAGAGTATGTAGAGGCATTAAGGTAGCGCGAAGATAGTCAAAGCTCCTCTGTTCACCGTTTCGGATTCTTTCACGGATTCGCTTCGGGCCCCGCTATCATTATTGTTGTTGATCGTTTTTGTTATGCAATCTGTTGATACGAAGGGAAAGGGAGGAGCGGACGATGGAATTTTAATGCACGTTTCAGCCTACTTAATAGGTTGGTCACGCTGATGAATAATACATTAAAATAATTGAAAGTAATGCGAATTTAAATAGAACACGAACGTGTTAGATTGAATTGGAAGGAATACGAAAATGGAAGATGGGATCGTAGATTTTTGTATTGTTCTCTTATATTTTATTGCAAGTCTTTTGATTTGCTACTAGGATCGAACAATCTAAAAATTTACATATTTCATCGCGATTTTATGAATAAATATTTTTAATAATTATTATTACTTTTGTAAGAAATTAAAAAATATCGGCTGCCTCTTATGAATGATTACTTTTGTTGACGATAAAAGTGACCGGAGATTAACTGTTTAGTTGTCTCAGACACCCTGTGGAAAATTCATAAAGAAAGTAACTCGAACATCAATTATCAAATGTTTATTATGACTATCAACCGTAAATTAAAATGATTCGTTAATCGAACGAATAATTCAAGATCCTAGAAATCCTCTCAAGCACCGAAGTGTAAAATAGGTAAATCATGTGGTGATTAATTGGAACGTTAGTGGCAACACGTGTTCCCATTCTAGTATCAATCACGATGAACTCGAGAGTGCCATTGTAAATTCTTTCTCTCACTTCCTTTTTGCGCTGTACACACGGTACAATTTATTATTTCTTTTCTCTTCTTCGTTTACCTTCTCCCTTTATTTCATTTTCTCTCATACTTCAAATTGTACATGGAATTTAAATCGATGGAAATTGCATATTTCGTTT